TGCATGAAGTGAACCTTCATTCCCGAAGACCGCTACGGGTACCACCTATAGCAATGCACAATCGTAGGATTCGATATCAATGGGCTCTTGAACACAGAAATTGGGCAGAAGAACAATGGCGTTTCGTGTGCTTTTCTGATGAGTCTCGTTTTGGTATGAGACCGGATACAAGACGTATACGACACTGGAGAACCCCTGGACGCCAACAGTGATTAAAATCCTGCCAGGAAGTCCATCCTTATAGTGGTGGAACCATCATGGTATGGGCGGGTATTTGGATCGGCGGAAGAACTGAGTTGATTTGGATCAGAGGCAACCTCAACGCTCAAATTTATGCTGAGACGATTGTATCAGACGTCATCGTTCCTCTACAAGTGCAAATCGGTCCCTTATTTCAGTTAATGCATGATAATGCACGACCGCACACCGCAAGAGTTGTAAGACAGACTCTCGCCGCAGCTAACATCAATGTCCTGCCCTGGCCTGCTCAGTCGCCAGACTTGAACCCGATTGAGCATGCATGGGATATGCTACAGAGAAGAGCTCTGCCGAATATGGAGGGTATCCAGTCGCAAGAAGACCTTTTTTTGTTGTTGCAACGAACATGGGCGGCCATTCCACAGCGTGATTTGGATGAACTCATTTTGAGTATGCCAAACCGATGTTCTTGTGTTGTTAGTGTTCGCGGTAGAAATACGGATTATTAATTGTTTAAGTTACCCAATAAAATTTTAGAGAAAACTGTTATTTCAGTCTTTTTTTCGAACTTTTGTGTTAGTGGTTCAAATGTCAAAAATCCCTTTATTAGGAAAATGGCAAATTTCTTTATTAATGCAAAGGTGACTTGGTTTATCGTTACTGTGACAAACGAAAACACTTTATTTGATGAACCTTAAAGAAAATTTTAATTAATATCAATCAGGAGAAAAGTTATTGCAAAAATATATGTTGATCCCTAGACACTTTTGATGTGTGTATTATTGTTATTGTCTGAATTTAATTTGAATAATTGACGAATTGTGATACAATGATTTAATTTTAAGACAAAATTGGACAAAATGCAATTGTTATTGAAATTTTTAATATGGGTTACTGTGCCTGAAATAAACACTTATTATTATTATTAATTAATATTGCCACAGCATTATGACTATTGTTTGAATTTTTATTATAAATATTGTAACCTGGTATTTTAAATATGTTATCTTTGAACCACGTTTCGTTAAGTAGGCATATATCAATGTTTTGTTGTTTTAAGAATTGGATGAGCAGCGGTTTTTTACTATTGGCACTTTGAATGTTATACTGAGCAATACGTAACTTAGACTGTGTAGGACCTAGATCCATTATTTTAGATTTTTAATTAAGATATCCTAATTGTTTTCACCGTAGTAGGTGAATCATCACCCTTATTGTCTAGCTCCACCATGTCTGTACAAGGGCCATAAGTACATTATTGTTAGGGTACGGCCAGAGTGCACTCAGATTCAGATTCAGACTCAGAAAACAAGCGCGAGAAATGTGTAGTTTAAGCAGGTTGCCTGCTGCCACTATGGCCACCCTGCTTTAACTACACTGTTTATTTCTCGCGCTTGTTTTCTGAGTCTGAATCTGAATCTGAGTGCACTCTGGCCGTACCCTTAGAGACTATTTGATTTTTTAAAGGCAATATATCATTTTGTTTATTTACATTATCTACATGTGTATTTACAGGATTATTTACAGAATTATATACAGGATTATTTACAGTGTTATTTACAGATTTATTTACATTATTATATACAGGTGTTTTTGATATTGGTAGTGGCGGAAAGTCATTGTTATTCACTTGTTTAGTTAAGGTAGTACTTGCTGTAATTTTAGTCTGTTTTCCATAATTTTCTTCATTTTAATTGGACATACTTTTGAAATGGCTAGATGAGGTCCGCTGCAATTTACAAAGTAATGCTAACAGTTTGTAAAGGAACATACTCATGACCTAACTTTCTTGGTGAAAGAAAGTAGGTCATGAATGTGTTCTTGGATTGAAATTGAAAGTTCTTGTGTCATCACCAAGATCCACAACGCGAGGACGTTTATTTGAGGTGGGCGGGTTATCCCAGCCCCCATCGTTACCTTCCATTTCTAAGGGTCACTACTTCTAAATTCTGCTATTAACACTAAGTTTTAAGCAATAAATAACTAAAATTGAAAATAAAATGAATAAAAACTTAAAATGTATGCGCGTTCTTTTTGGAGTTCCCGCCCCAAAAAAAACTGTTTAGAATGTAGGTAGAGTTTAGAGTATATACCAATGGAGATGCCATACCGTTCACTACCCGAACAAATTTTTTGGCGTGGGACGAGGCAGGCGTGGTCCGAAGGGGACATGACCCCCCCCCAAAATCTAAGGTCAAATTGAAAAATCTCTAAAATTTACCAAATAATAAAAGAAAATTGCTAGTTATATCTCCTAACAGCGATAAATTTATAGTTTGCTGACATCTAGTGATGTTTTTACGAACTACGTACGATGGCCAAAATAACTTGAAAGTGTACTAGTTTAGAAACAAGGAACCGAACTACGTAGTTTTGGTAATTCTAGCCAAATTGATATGCGTCGTTATGATTAACATTGTATAACAATATTCTAATAATGTAATTTGTCGGTTTATTGTAAAGATTCAAGATAAAGGTTGTCTACTTAGTTAAAAACGTGGTTGAGAGCCAAAATGTTAGAAGAGCGATTAAAAGATTTAGCTCTTCTAAACATTCACCCGGAAATAGTACCAGACGTCTCAAATATTATGACCCGATTCGTAAATACAAAAAGACGACTTCCACTTTGTTTTATAAGTGCAATAATGTTTATTTTATTCCAGATACCTATTTTTAGGGTTCCGTACCTCAAAAGGAAAAAACGGATCCTTTTTTCTCAGGAACGCATGGAGGTATCAAACTGTAATTCATATCTAATACTCAGGTCTACTGTCCCTTGGAGCTGTGAAAAAATCAAACTTCTAAGCTAAAGCCATCAAAAGATACAGCCGTTTATGCCGCAAATTTTCGAATCTCGCACGGGAATCAAAACCTACAGGGTACTCTCCGTGAACTTAGAATCTTGAAATTTGGTACAAAGTAAAGTCTTATAGTACAGATAAAGGAAAAATTGTGAAAACCGTAAATTTTTAGTTACATCATATAATAAAAATATTTTTAAAAATTTAGGTTTATACGGAACGGTGCGCGAGTTCGACTCGCACTTGGCCGGTTTTTTTTATTAGTGTAGTGAGTGACCCCCTCCAAAATTTTAGGCTGCGACCGCGCCTGGGACGAGGTACACACGTATATCACACTCATGAAAATATGCAATACCCACAAACACGACGGAGTGTTGTTGCTATAAACGCACACTTTACAAATCGCGTCACAAAAAACATTATACACTTTAATAATTTTTATGTTGTTTTACACTTTGACAATTTTTATTTGCATTTGTTCGAGCGTATATCAACACAAAGTTAGGGATGGGACGGGACATTAAAAGAATGAACGATATTTGAATTTAGTTCTTGATGAATGAACAAGTTTGTTTATAATGAAATCTAAAAGTTTCATTTATAATATCTATCTGAAAGTTTATTTATAGTTTTAGTACTTATGATTATAATGCACAAAAATTTAATTATATTGCTATTTGTTTAATATAATGTGGATAGCGATTAAATAGACTTCAGTGCATTGAGGTTATTTGTTTTCCTGATAATGATGTCGATTCTGGCGTGATTCTCTAAACTTAAAACTAAATTTAACTTCAGTCTCTCCTTTTCATTCTGTATAGAGAATGACAAGGATATACCGTTGTCAAATTTAACTTTAGGTTTAGAGAATCATGCCAGAGTCGACACCATCGTCTTCCTCTGTGGTTTAAGAAGTTAATAATTTTATCATGTGTGATAAATTAGAAAGAACTCAGTGATTCAAGCTTTCGACAAAGACCAATGCTATTCTTTCAACGAGTGCTTCGCTAGCATACACTTAATCCACAATGATATTAATGAACGTATTGAGTACGTACTTACGGAGCTCGATAGCGCAGGTGATTAGCTCATTCGGCTTGCAATCGTGGAGGTTATGCAACTTTTGCAATATATTGGTGTCGATTCTGCCATGATTCTCTAAACTTAAAACTAAATTTAACAGCAGTCTCTCCTTCTCATTCTGTATAAAGAATACTCTTGTCAATTTTAAGTTTAGTTTAAGAGAATTATGGCAGAATCGACACCAATATTTTATCAACTAGCTATTTGTATCAGCAAATGCACTTAATTAAATCTGGCTGGACGTTTTCCAGTATTAAAAAAACCATTCATTCATTTTGTAATTGTGTGATTTTGTGTTACAACCGTCAGCACAACTAAAGAATTAGTGGAATCTTTAAAATATTTGCTTTATTGTAGTGTTGACTACCTCACAGAAGCTTATCGAGAAAGCTGATTCGATATATTTCGTACCAAACACTCTAATCAACATATGTAAGAATGTGTCAAACCCACATTCTAATGTAAAAAAAAAGAGTAGTTGTATTTTCTTTAGATTTAAACATCAAGCAGTTACATGCTTTAAAATAATAAAAATTATAACTATAATTGCTATTTCTTCTTTCAAATGTTTAATACCTACTTGTAAAAGTATTCATTTGACATTGTGGATTACCTATAATGCGAAGAGATGGCGCTGCCTTGCAGCTTAAGAATGGCTAGAAGAAATTCGACGCGGTCCGTGAGGGCCGCGGTAGCATAATTGGTCAGTGCATTCGCCCGGATGCGAGGGGTGCGGGTTCGAGGCCCGTCTGCTGCCTGGTCCGCGTGATTTTTTTTCTAGTTATATTTTCTTTAGGTAAAAAATAGAATCAAGAAAATGGAATACTAGGCTGTCTGGGGATTGTTCTCTCTGCCTTTCCTAAAAAGGACGAACGTTAAAAAAAATCTAATATCTTGTATTATTAAGTTTCTCATGTCGTATGCTTAATTTCGTAATATTTACTATTAAGTGCATAAATAAAGGTGTATAAATGTATTGGTTTTCTGTAAAAAATCCAATGAATTGGTTTGTTGTAATGGACTAATGGGGTGCTTTCATAGCAAAAAAGAGTCTTCGGACATACATCCCAGCATTTATCGGGTAATCAATATTGATGAAAACGGAGCAGAACTATGTTCAGGACAACTTGAGATTACAGAATCTGATATAATATTGTATCGTGAAGGACGTGATTCTACCATATGGCCTTTACATTCACTCAGAAGATACGGATTCGAAGGAGAAATATTTAGCTTTGAATCAGGTTGTTATATTTTGTTATGTAATTTAACTAGACTTTTTGATAGTGTATATTGTTTTATTAATTTTATATTTCTGTAATCACATTGCATATACATTTAATCCTATGGACTGTTAAAGAAACATAAAATTAATATAGAAAACTTAAGTATGTATTATATTTATAATGGTTAATGCTTATATATTTCTATTTCCAGGTAGAAGATGTGAAACTGGTGCAGGTATATATGCTTTCAGATGTCGAAGAGCTTCCCTCCTTTTTCATACTTTACAACAGCAAATTCAACTGCGAAATGCTATTCATGATTCTGTTTCATATCCAGTATCACATATGACTCCATCACCACAAGGTAGACAAACACTGCAAGCTAGTGTTGTTCACCGGTCTTCTATAGATAATGGTCAACCAGAAAGCAGTACTAGGTCCACTTTTAGCAATAATAATGCAAATATAACATCCAATATTGGAGTTCCCAGACCAGTGACTCAAACAACAAGATTTTCTTCTAGCGCTGATATTTTGGAAGTCATGCCCTTGTATCCTCGTTCTCAAGCAAATGGAAACCATGTAACGAATTTGTATCAAGTGAGAGATTTCAAAAGAGAACATAATAATAATCAAGCGGAAACTCCTACAGGAGTTGATGTTCATCATGTTTACAGTAATGATCTTACAAGAGACTTAGCTATTCTTAGAAATACTTTACGGCAAGAAACTGCATTGAATACAATGCGAGATATAGAAGATGAAACTCGTTTCCTTGAAGGTAGATATTTAAATGAAAATGTTCCTAATAAAAACAATCCAGTTGCTAACCCATTGTCCCCGACTTTGAGTAATAACAGTGAGCATTATGCACAATTAAGCATAGAACAACAGGAAGCAGCTAGGTTATATGTAAATGTAACACCAAATGAGACAAACACACATGACAAAAGTAAAACTGAACCAGTTCCACCTACTCCACTTACACCAAAGCAAGTAGAATATTGTAATTTACCTGTTGGAATGAAGCCAGAAATGAATAGTTATGCAAATTTAACACTGGGTGACATAGGTGATAGTGTGAAGAATGGTAAACTTATCTTACATTTCAATACAACATCAGATAAACAGAAGTTCTCTGAGTCGGACACAATGACATCAATATCACCTGTTGAAGAGACAGAAGTGAACTATGCTATATTAGATATTGATTGTAATAAGGACACTATAAAAAGTACAAAGGAATCTATCTCTTCAGAAGGTCAGTCCAATAGTAGCTCACGAAATGAAAGCACTGCCTCATGCACATCACAACCAAGAGGGAGATTAATATCTCAAAGTAGTGTAGATAAAGCTACAACTGGGACAATATCTATCCCCCTGGCTGCTATAGGATATACAACTATTGATTTTGATAAAACCGTAGCTTTAACTTCTGTGGCAGCTGGAAATGAAGCTGAAATGGAGAATTCCAGAAGGACAAGGCACAGTTCATGCAATATTTTACTGACTGGAAGTGCCAATTTTGATAAGGGAAAACTTTGTAATTATTAATTTTAGCTCTCAAAATCTTGCATCTATTTAATTAAGGTATATTAAGTATTACTTTCAAATATGTGCCAAAAATTATGTGTAATTGTATGAGTAGTCACTGTCACAAGTAGCTGAAAATTGTGTAATAAAACATAGGGGCAAAAAACATCAAACCTCAGGCATGCATATTTGAAATTCAAATTGACATACTTTCTTTCTGTCTGCACTTCACATGGCTATGTTGCCTGCATCATACTTTGTAGGGAGTGGAAGGAGTGACTTATCAAGTTTACAAATATACAAAATGAATAGCCCTTTGGTTAATTAACATGCCTAGATAGAGCAATCCCAATAAACCATGCAAAGAAAACTGCTCATGTTATGTGAAATGTGTGTGTGATTTTAATCAGATTGTTTGAAAGCAGTCAATGTGTGTGTGTGTGACGAGCGTATCAACCATATGTAAAAGATATTTTTTGGGCTGCTTCGGTGCAGTTAATATGGTATCTAGGCATCTATATAATCAAAGACTGTACCAAATTTTTACAAATCATGTCTCCCATTTATGCCACCATATGGATAGCTACATTTTACAAAAGCATACTGGAATAATTAAAATTGTTCATTAGGTTGTATTACAATGGGCCAACATAATCCATAATATTGTTTAATATGGGTTAAATTCTTATGATTGACAATTATTGCCTCTATGTAGCATTTAAATGATATTTGTCTACTATCAGCCAATTTGATTCTTGACCCACCATAAGTTTATTTTTTTACAACCATTGCAAAACATTAAGATAGGCTCAAATGTATAGGCTGATTGGCTTATAGGTATGCTTCCAGCAAATATGTTAATATCTGAACAATCTTAATGACGTGACAGATTTTGTCGCCTCCCTCCCTGTGACGTAGTGTTGACATTACAATATTAATATTAGGAATTTTGCCCATAGTGCTAGAGCCTGCGGGAGCGCTGAGCGGGCGCGTGTTTTTGTTTCATGTTATTTCATAGAGTTGCCCTGCGTGAAGCGGGTCTCCCGCGCATCGAAGTTCTATGAAATTACATAAAAACTACACGCGGAGGAGAGGACGTTCGCTTCGTGCTCCCGCTTAACGCAGCGCATGCCGTAAGGATTTCCATAGTAGTTTACCAGTAATTTTCTTAATGTCAAGAAATCTAAGAGTTTCTGTTACATTTACGATTTTAAAATTGATTTCGAAATTCAAACTACTATTCCAATTTCATATAAAAGATGATCTATTGCATTATAAACAAAGATCTTTGAATATTAGGAGGTCCTTCATTCAATAACGCATTTCTATACAGGAAAATTCGTCTATTTTGACAATTTTAAGTAAAATATTGGGCAAGTTGGTCAGATATCAACCAAAGGGCTATTTGTTCCATAGTACGTACTTACATAATATACAGGTTCTTGTGATAGCAGCTATAGCATAAAAACTATTGGTGTCGATTCTGGCACGATTCTCTAAATCTAAACTTAAAATTGACAACAGTGTATCCTTGTCATTCTCTATACAGAATAAAAAGGAGAGACTGATGTTAAATTTAGTTTTAAGTTTAGAGAATCACGCCAGAATCGACGCCATTGTATCATTATAATTAGGTATAAACTGTAAATATTATATTACCAAAGATAAAGCCATTATACAATTTTAGCCAGTGTGAATGATTCTATAAAAAGTTTATTTTAATGCGATCTTTTATTACATCGCCTCAAAAAAAAAACGTCCATCTGTCACATTACAGCCGGCGGTGAAGAAGGCGTAAAGCCTTCGATTCACTTCACCTTCTTATCTTCGGATCTTTTTGCACTCTTCTAAGATAACTCTTTATTATAACATCAAGGAACATGCAATATAATAATCTAGAGTTACATCTGGTGGACTTATCGTTAAAATCAATTTCTTCCAGACAACCGTGGAAATTTCCACCCACCATGTAGCACATTGGAATTGGTACAATGTTCCAATGAGAAAGGTCGTCGAAAGCGATTTTGATTTCTTGTACCTTATTAATGTAAGAAACAATATTTTTATTTAAAAAAGTTTGCTTTTGTAGCTAACAGAATGAAATTTTAAATTTCATGGAAAGTTGCAAACTGTTTTGTTTAAGTTGTATATAACAAGTAAATAATCATTAATATATTTATTTGGAACTCTTTTATTTACTTTAGACAAATAAACCAACTCTATGAAATAATATATTGATTTAGTTTTATAAATTGTTTTTTTTTATTATTATAATAGCTCGCACGGTTTGTGCATTGGCCACGACAGGGTAAAAGGTAAGGAAACCAAAATAATGAAATAGAAAGGTTGTGAAACGGAATTTGGAAGGATTAGGATCAGGTAAGTACCTACGTAAAATTAATTTGAAACGTAAGTAATAGGTCTTTTTAGATATATAAAGTACATTATATTATTCTAATAAATTACTTATAATTTTGTATTATGTTTAGTTAGGAATTCAGATAGCTTGTTATGTCCTATATTATAATTTTTATAATACAATAAGGAAGGAATAGAAGTAGGGAGAGGTACATTAAGGGATATTAATGAATCCATAAAAGAGGAGGAATCATTGAGGGGACACTCGAAGAAGATGTGATTTAAGTCCTCTGCTCCAGTACCACAAGCACAAATATTATCATTTACTATGCCCAGTTTAGCCAGGTGGGAAGAAGAACAGTTATGACCATAAATTGATATTTTTAGCATATCTTATAATTTTTAGTCTGAAAATTCTGGGGAAAATGGCTTCAGAATTTTGACGTAGAGCCTTAATAAATTGTTTTAATAAAACATTTTTTTATGCAACATAACATTAAAATAATCATAGGGTCCATATCGAATAAGGATATTATATTTCTTTTTCTGAAGTAAACAAAATAGCATGGAAAGGAGATTGGTCAAATTGGCCTAAATGCAAATAAAATATTGACATATACAGTCATTCTTGGCGTAATTTATACTTTATTTTACAGTCATTAGATTTTAACGGCCACCTTTAAATAATATATTAATTTTAAAAGAGGACTTCTATTTTTACCGGTTTGGAAAACATACGAATCATTTTTATTGGCTGGGTGTAGTAACATTCAAAAGACTGATCGAGGTTGTTTATATAACATCAAAACAAATCTATTTTGTAAAGATTGATAAAATATTTTTTTTTATTACACGGGTGGTGTTTATATCCACAACTTTATTATCATTTTTACTACATGCAAATGTGCTAAGACAATTAATATAGATGGTAGGCGACATCATAAAGTCTATTGCCGTACATTTTTTAAACACCTAAATAAACACATTATAAGGTGTGATACACTAAAAATCTAAAATATGGTTATAATAAAAACATAACAAAAATAATGAAGCTGCTGAAGATATGGCTATGTATAACCTACAGCTCTTAGCTTTCTTTGATTAACGAGAGTTTAAAAAATCTCTCTAATCTGTGGCTCATTCACAATCATCACACAGTTTCTGTTCGTGTTTTTAAAAACATGCACATATCTGTTATTTTACATGCTCTATATACCTGAATCTAATACATAATATCGGTAGGTACTTGGCTTGATTGCCCTATTTTCCTATATAAGTTATTTGGTTTTTATTATTCTAATACCTATGTGCCTATTTGCAAACATAACCTCAAAATCATTCAGTGTATATGGTTTATAGAAGTTCTCAGGAGTGGCCGTCGATAATATTCGTTTCTACGGTAATTTATATATAATTTCGAATGTAGGAAACAATTTTTCATGGTTATTGGTTTTTAGGCCAAACATGTATGGAAGCTGAACAATCTCCTTTGGTATATCCTCATGTGACGCCCATATTTTATCCTGACTTCGAATAGAAAGTTAAAGTAAGCTTCATATGCTTAATTAAGCCTTTTACTATTGGATAAACAACATTTTTTGACTCTAAATTTAATAAAATCTCCGGAAATAAATCAAACAGAGTTCACATAGTTTTTACTCATTTTGGAAGACATTTTACCGCTCAAGACTTACAAAGTACGTCGTTTCCCTCCAATAAAGAATTTTATTATGCAACTGAGACATAATATTATGATAGGGTCCATAATGAATAAAAGTATATCATACTAAATATTATAATTCTTTTTCTGACACTCTGAATGTGCTGCTGGTAGTGAAATAAACAAAAATAACTTGGAAATTTTGTATATCGTCATGAGGCGTAAATATTTTATCCTGAAGTCAAATAGGAAGTTAAAATGAAGCTTCATATGTTTAATTAAGTCTTTAACTACAGGTTAAACCATTCTTACGACTCGAAATTAAAAAAAAATCTCCGCAAATAAAGCAGACACGTAGTTTTCACTCATTTTGGAAGTCATTTACCGCTCTAGGCATTTACAAAATACGTCATTTCTCTAAAAGGTGTGTACATGCACAGAGTGATTGCTCTACTGCTTCCAATCCATACCCAATATCCTTCTGCACTCCTTTGTTTTGCTTATTAAAAGCGGTAGATCCTCAGCCTTTTACAAAAGTCATACATATTTATTTATCATTGTATAAAGTACAAAAGCAAACTTTTTAAAATAAAAATGAGGTTTCTGGTTATTTTTCGATATAAACAATTAGACAATAGTAATTAAATAAAAGGCTCAAAATTTTTTTTTCATTTTGTTGACTTGTGTTATATTCAAAAACATTAATCTTATAAATAAGCTATTTAACTTTAAAAAAATACAGAAATAATATTATTTAGACTCATACTTATACTACTCTATACAAGGTACCTACTAAATGTCTCACCAGCCCGCTAGTATTTGAACCTTTGCAAGCAATGGTTTTTGGGCACTTCAGGCATAGCGGATTTTGCAATTCCTTATTTTTAACCACTTAGTGGTTAATAATCCACCATTATTAGACATCTGTTCGAAAGGTACTTTGAACGATCCACGGAGCTCCATAAGATGATCGCGTTGTCAAAAACAATGTTGGCACGCTCGTCACCTCTGATCACTGTTTTCATATTTATAATATTTATCCACATGTTTCTAGTTTCTATATAGACACAACGTGTTTTAGTTACTTACAAGTGCTAATTACATATGGACTAATAACTTAAATTCAGTAGTGATTTTAATTGAATATTTTGAATATTTATTTAATTTTTCAAATTAAAACTGAACTACTGTGTTAACTATCCTTTTCCAGTCCTTTTATTATTTTATTGTAATTATTAATTTTTTTTTTAGTTATATTTTTATTTTGCTAAAGAAGTATAACTTCTCACGCGCGTACATAAGACGCATCCATTTTTTTTAAAATATTTCCATACTTTTGATGCTTCCATCTTTGCTGTTATAGTGACGTTTCGGTAAATTCTATAACAAACGCAATTCAAATTAATAATAAGCCCTTGGAGTAATATGTTGTAGTACAACACAACTGACAATATTCGTCTCGCAAATTTAAAATGACACATTAATTAATTTCAAATTACTTACATAAGAAAAGAAGGTACATTATTTCTCGAGTTCGCGACTTTTCTCAAGCATCGTTATCACCCACCAATTCGCGCTGGGTCCGTTATCATCCATCAATCCGCACTGAGTCCGTTAACACCCACCAATCCATGCTGAGTCCGTTATCACCCACCAATCCGCACTGGGTCCATTGTCACCCACCAATCTGCGCTGGGTCCATTATCACCCTACAATCAGCACTGGGTCCGTTATCATCCACTAATCCGCGCTGGGTCCCTTAACATCCACCAATCTGCACTGGGGCCATTATCACCCACCAATCCGCGCTAGGACCGTTATCATCCACCAATACGCTCCGGGTCCGTTATCACCCACCAATCCGCGCTGGCTCCGTTATCACCCAACAATCCGCACTGGGTCCGTTATCACCCCCCAATCCGCGCTGAGTCCGTTATCACCCACCAATCCGCACTGGGTCCGTTATTACCCACCAATCTGCGCTGGGTCCGTCATCATCCACCAATCCGCACTGAGTCCGTTATCACTCACCAATCCGCGCTGGGTCCGTTATCACCCACCAAGCACTAGATTCATATATTTTGTAACGGGTATTGTTCATTGTTTACCGATGAGTCACCGATGAAACTGGTCTAGTACCCATTGGACCCTGGACGACTGTACTTTACCGTTCCAAAAGAATTAGCCAAATAGTTAAGAGCTGCAATAGCTCCCATTGTGTCGTTAAGTACGGCTTTGAGGGTCCAATGGGCACCGTGTTCTTGATAGGAGGTCGAACGGGCACTTTTTTGTAGGTAAGGTCCAATTAACCTTAATATAATAATCAAATCACAGATTTTTTACTTTACTTTTAAAGCCAATAGAAATTATTTTTTATTAAATAGCTTAACTAAATTATAAATATGGTTTGTTATATCACACAGATTAAGCACAATTATTATATATTCTAAATATT